ACAACTCCAACTCTAACTCCAAGCTAGCTACTCTTGCTTCCAAGGCCTTCTGCTGGGTTGGACTGTCTCTAGCTACCTCGAAGCGAGACGAATTCACCCTTCCCTCGAAGGAGTCCACCTTCTCCTCCAGCTCTTCCACCCTAGCAACCAAACTAGCAAAATAGGAGAAAAAGTCACTGATACGAGACGTGGGCTTACAAGGGCCAACTAGCGTAGCCTCAAGCCTAGTGAACCTCTCTTCCACACTCTCCATCATCCCCTTGAGTCGTGCCTCCAATGCCGGCATCGACTCCTTCGTGGGGAGCTTTCTCACCCTAGGGATGTTCCCTTCGTTGCCAGACGTAGCCATGTACACCTCTGCTCTGATACCAACTGTCACGGACTTAGACTTCGCAAGCCTACCGTGCGGCCTTAGATGCCTCTCAACCCTCTTGGTTGCACCTAAGTCAGCCTTACCCACTCAACCACACTAACACACGCAGTTTAGGTGGAAGAATGCCCACACTAACACACACGTTTAGGTGGAAAGAATGCCTTCACTATAACAAGTTAACATTTACAAGTATAGTCGTGTACAAAGCTTACAAGGCTCTCACACTCACACTCACAAGTGCCTCACTCTTAGAGCTCTCTTGGATCTCCAGGTCTCTAGGTTCCTAGCAAATGAGACCCCTCACCCTTATATAGCCATCCCCCTCCTTAATGGACGGCTCAGATCATTTTGATCCAAGGGTTACATACTCTTATCTAGAACATTCCATAGAACTATCTAGGACAACTACCCTATCTACTACAATCTAGAACTCTCTTACACTAGTGTAGTACATGGCAGGCTTCTCCAAGACAATCTAGGATGTTCCAGACCCATCCAGACTCTTCTGGACACTCCAAGGCTCTTCCACATTCCGAAATCTTCCAGGCCGCTCCGGACCCTACTACTACATTCTAGAGTCTTCCAGCATACTCTAGGTTGGTCTCCCCCATTCCGGAACCTTCCAGCGCCTTCAGCATACCGCCCATGCTGCTCCTTGTGTCACATAAATTGTCGGGACGTGACACAAGGAATCTAAGGGTCATCTGGCCGACCTAAAAGAAGTCTTTGATATACTCAAAACATACCGGCTCCGACTTAATGCATCAAAGTGTGCGTTTGGAGTTGGATCAGGTAAGTTTTTAGGGTATCTGGTAACGAGAAAGGGCATTGAGACCAGCCCAGACCAAATCAAGGCCATCCTAGAGCTGCAGAGCCCAACGTCAGCAAAACAGGTTCAGATGCTTACTGGAAGGGCCGCAGCCCTAAACAGATTCATCAGCAGAAGCTCAGATAAATGCAGACCCTTCTTCAACCTGGTGAAGAAAGCCACAGACTTTCTGTGGACAGAAGAATGCGAAGCCGCTTTAACCGACCTAAAGAAGTACTTAACCACAACTCCGGTTCTTTCCAATCCAGAACCAGGGGAAGAACTGTTTTTGTACTTGGCGGTTTCAGAACACGCAGTAAGTGCAGTACTAATCCGAGAAGAAAAAATGGAACAAAAGGCTGTTTATTATGTTAGTAAAATTTTGGCCGATGCAAAAACAAGGTATGTACCACTGGAGAAATTAATGCTAGCCTTAGTAATGGCTTCAAAGAAGTTGAACCATTACTTTCAGGCGCACAAGATTGTAGTCCTAACAGAGCACCCACTGAAGTCCTTGTTGCAACAAGGAGACTTAACAGGAAGGATAGCAAGATGGGCAGTAGCCCTGGGCCAGTATGACCTGGAGTTCAGGCCAAGAACAGCAATTAAAGGCCAAGTTTTGGCCGACTTCGTGGCAGAATTCACACCCGAAACCATCGAACATCGGGCTCCGTTGAGCCAGGATGAGCATTGTCCCAGCAAGCAAAAAGAATCCCAGCCTAGGGCAAAAGAACAAAGGAAGAAAAAACTCAGACCTTGCAGCATCTACATCGGCGATTCATTCAGACTGTTCGTCGATGGAAGTTCGAACCGACAAGGAGCGGGGGCAGGAGTACTGCTGATATCTCCAGATGGAGAAATAATAGAACAGTCCATCCGTTTGGGGTTCAAGGCCTCAAACAATGAAGCGGAATACGAAGCATTAATTGCAAGGCTAAAACTAGCAGCAGCAGTAGAGACAGATGAGGTAATAGTTTTTTGTGATTCACAACTTATTGTTAACCAGTCCACAGGTGAATTTGCAGCCAGGGACGAAAGGATGTCGGCATATGCAAAAGAGGTCATTAGATTGGCAGCCCTATTTCAGAACTGCCGACTACTCCAAGTTAGCCGAGATGACAACACCCACGCCGATGCGTTGGCTAACCTGGCAAGTTCAATGCAGACTGGAAAAACAAGGACAATTATGATAGACTATATGTCAGGCCCGAGCATAGAACCAGAGAACACAGAGCAGCAAGCAATGTGTGTGGATATGGGGCCAAGCTGGATGGATGCAATTGTTGCATTCCTGAAAGAAAGAAAGCTGCCAGAAGATCGTAAGGAGGCACACAAAGTCAGACTGAAATCGGCAAGATTCTGTCTGACAGAAGATGGACACTTCTACAGAAGGTCTTTCACTGGACCACTTTTAAGGTGCGTACACCCTTTACAGGTTGAAGATTTCCTGTATGAAATTCATGAAGGAATTTGTGGAAGGCATACTGGGGACAGATCATTAGCCCACAGGGCCATTACCCAGGAGTATTGGTGGCCCTACATGCAGAAGGATGCCGAAGCCTACGTAAAGAAGTGTGAACAATGCCAAAAGTTTGCACCTTTGATACATCAGCCAGCTGCTGACCCAAACCCAGTGTCCAGCCCTTGGCCGTTTGCCCAATGGGGCATGGATCTGGTTGGGAAACTTCCCCAGGCAACTGGACAGAGAAAATACTTGCTGGTGGCAACAGATTACTTTACAAAATAGATAGAGGCAAAACCTCTTGCCAAAATTCGAGATGTGGACGTCAAGAACTTTATATGGAGAAACATCATCACCAGATTTGGGATTCCAAGAGCAATAGTTGCCGACAACGGAACACAGTTTGACAGCAAACTCATCAAGAACTTTTGTGCGAAATTCAAGATCAAAAATTACTTCTCAACACCAAGTTTTCCCCAAAGTAATGGGCAAGCAGAAGCATCCAACAAAGTAATTTTGGATGGAATAAAGAAGAGACTGCAGGCAGCAAAAGGAAAGTAGGTAGACGAGTTACCCAACGTGCTTTGGGCATATCGGACTACGCCAAGAAGATCAACAGGGGAATCCCCCTTTGCCATGGCTTATGGCACAGAAGCTGTCATCCCATTGGAAATCGGCATCCCAGGGATCAGGACCCAGGGAGTAGAGAATGGCACCAACGACATACTCTTAGCCCGAGAGCTGGATTTTTTGGAAGAACGAAGAGAGAAAGCTGCAATTTAACTCGCAGTATACCAGCAACAACTTGCCAGAGCTTACAACAAGAAGGTCAATCTAAGAGATTTTCAAGTCGGCGACCTAGTCGTAAAAAAAGTCGTCGGCAACAAGAAGGATCCCAGAGAAGGCAAGCTTGGCCCAAACTGGGAAGGATCCTACAGAATTACTTCGGTATTAGGCAATGGAGCTTATCGGCTAGAAGATAACGAGGGCAAAGCACTGCCAAGGCCTTGGAACACTTGTAATTTGAAATTCTACTATCATTAGATGTGCAGTATTTTTGGCCGATGTCATCAATAAAATCTTTCCCCTTTTCTTAAAACACATATATTTAAAGTTACATATTGGTATTTTTGGAGACATGAATAATGAGAACCCAAGTAGAACTCAAGTTCACATTGGGGGCAGAGAGAAGACAGATTATTCCTTAATTCACTTGTTGAAATTTGTAGCAATTTACAAGTTGGAATTAAGCTGATTCCTTATCTTCACTTATTGAAATTTGTAGCAATTTACAAGTTGAAGTTAAGCCGAGATCATTGGTTCTCTTCGCTTGTTGAAATTTGTAACAATTTACAAGTCGAAGTGAAACCGAGGTTACAGCTTGCACACTTATAGCAATCTACAGGTTGGTCCAACCAAAGAAGATGCTTAACACTTGTTGAAATTTGTAGCAATTTACAAGATAATGTTAGGCCGACATGTGATCATCTGTTGAAATTTGCAGCAATTTACAGGTTGAGGTAAAAGCTAAGTATATTGTTGAAATTTGTAGCAATTTACAAGTAGGTTAGCCCAAGATCACTGTTTAAATACTTGTTGAAACTTGAGAAAAAGTTTGCAAAAGTTAAACATCGAATAAGTATATGTTTTATACTTGTTAAAATTTATGAAAAGATTGTAAGTCAGTATCTTGCCGAAGTAAGACTTGTAGTTATTACACCCAAGATATGTAACCCCGAGAAGATTGCACAAAGATGGCAAAGTATGAAAGGCATACAAAATATTCCAAGTATAGAACTATGCAGAAGCAATTAAAGAAAAGACAAAGATTCAAGCAAAGCTCAGTTAACATTTACAAAATTGGGAGGCACGTCGGCCACGCAAAAGCTTACATTGTTCAGAAAAAGATAAAGGAAAAAACAAAATACAAGTAAGCAAAAGAAGAACATAAAGCTAAGGGTCTTCTCATCCAGATTGTTGGATTTGAAGATTAGATACGACCTCGGCCTCCTTCCCTGCCGCTATTTCGGCGTCAATTTCTTGAAGAGTTTGTTCGACAGTCTTAACCTCGGAAGGGATGTCGGCTGGAACATTGTCAGGAACAGCTTCAGGGATAACCTCATCACCTTCTTCATCTTGAGTCAAGTCAAGGACTTGCTCATTCTGAGGAGGGGACTTAGCCCCATCAGCATCCTTTGGTTTTCTGACCAAAGCTTCATCCTCTTCCTCATTGGCATCCTCAGACTCAGATTCAGATTCTCCTCCAGGCTAACTTGATGGAGGAGGAGGGGGGAACGGCAGAGGAATAGCATCGGCATTGCGGAAGGGTGAGTCAGCAGGAAGATCAAGTTTCTTTATCAGGGACCCCTGTTGCATGCCTGCCTGACTTGAAGTTTATACTCCTCAGTAACGTCGGCCATACCCTGGGCGTAGGCCTTTTCGTCGGCCGCCTTGATTTCAGCATCTTTGGTAGATAAAGCATCTTGAAGTTCCTTTTCCGCCTGGGCCTTTTTTTCCTCGGCTTCTCTCTTCTCGGCCTCAGCAACCTTTCTAATAGCCTCGGCAGATTCAGCCTTTTCCTCGGCAAGGGTTTGGGCTTTGGTGGCAGCCTCAGCCTGGTCTTCCAGTTTTTTCATCTTTAATTGAAGAGATTTGTTTTCCTTTGTAAGGGCAGAAACCTCTCTCTTCAGATCAACCAACTTTGTCCTGTTTTCAAAAGCTTGCATTGAAAACGAATGGGCATGCTGAATGGCCTGAAAGAAAACAGAAGTGTTAGAGAATATTTCAAGTATGAAATAGAAAGAAAGCAAAAAGTTCCAAGCAGGAACACTTACTTGAACGGAGTGCTGGAGCATTAGAGCGTAATTCTCGTACTCACTGTACTCAGCATTTCGCTCGAGGTCACCCGGAAGAAGCAATGCCGTACTGAGGGCAACGCCGACATTTATGTCGTCGGCACTTTCATTGGACATAATTGGCCTATCTTCCAAAGTAATTTTGGGAGCCCAAGGGACATCCGGTTTCTTGGACCCCGAGGTAGTAGCTGAGGCCGACCTTGGTTTTTTTGTCTGTGTGGACTCAGAGGGTGGGTTTTCAGCAGACCTTTTTGCAGAAGCAGAAGAAGTCTTCTTACTCTCAGCCAGTTTAGAGATGGGCAGAGCATCCTCAGCCTCAACCTCAGTAGCTTTGGCCTTGGGCTGAGCTTTTTTGATTCTTTTTGGCTTTGGTGGGGGCATGGATTGGGTTGGAATAGCATCAATGTCGGCCGGAAGGTCAGCTAGGAGATCTTGGGCAACAGGCTTCGGGCGACCCATCTCAACAGTTTTTACAAGTCGTCGCCGACGTTTTCTTTCTGGTATTGGGATTAAGTATGGGGCCGAGGTAGATGGTTGATTGATTGGGTCAGATATTGACTCTTGATCTGTTCGAGATGTAGAAGCAGTTTGAGTTGTGGCAGTCGGAGGAGAAAGGCTTTTCTTCTTTCGTTTGGGAACGTCGGGCAGAGTGGATTTGTACGTAGGAATAAAGTTTAGAAGCAGAGGTGCTTTTCTTTTGTGGACAGGAAAGTCCAGGAGCCTCTTCAGGTCCTTGCTAGGAACGTAGGATTGGCGAAAGTCTTTCGCTAGCTTGCGAACGTCTGCAAGAAGAAACGGACATTAGAAACAGATAAAATATTGAAAACTTGAAAAGAAACAACTAAACACTGGGCTCTTACCCTTGCCCTCTTTAACCGTTCGATGGACATCTTCGTCTGGGGCAAATTCCTAATTTTCAGAGACAATGAAGTAGTCATCTCCAGCTCCCTTGTTGAAGTCTGGGAGGTCGGCTACAATTTTGAATTCAATAGACCTCGGCTTGAGGTAGTAGACGTAACCTTTTTCCTTTAGGCTAAGGGGGCACATGGTGTAACAATATTGTATGTCGGCTAGGGTGATTCTAAAGTTTTCTTGTCTGGCTAAGGCGATGATACCAAAAATCACTCGATAGGAGTTTATAGCAAGTTGCATAGGGTTCAGCTTATAATAATGCAAAATCTCGCGAAAAAGAATGTTAAGTGGAAGCCGAAGTCCACGTTCAGTAAAGGCTATAATAGGGAGAGGCATGGTGTTTTCGGTAGGCATGATGGAGTCATCATCCCCAGCCAGTTTCAGGTGAACATCGGCAGGGACGGAGAACTCCTGCCTAAAGTACTCAAGTTTGGACGGGGTATCAACCCTATGTCTCCACATACCCATAACGTCGGCCTAAAGACAGAAAGCTAGGTTTCAGAAAGAAGGTGTTCTTAAAGGGTTATTGGAACCTCGGCAAAAACCTAGGAGAGTATTGGTACGGCTTGTTTCAGTTTTCCTTAAATTAAAGGTTCTACAAACAAATCCCAAGCCTAAGAACTATGAAGATGAAGATCAAAGGCACATATCTGGAAAGGAAAAACAGAAAACAAGAAACAAAGAATGACGTTTCAGAGACGAAGAACAGAGGTATGATTCTCAAAAGCGAAAGAAATACAGAAGTAAGAGGTCAAGAACAGTGGCAAGAAAAGTGTTAAAACAGTGCAAATGTTCAAGATATGAGTGAAATCATGGAATAGATGCATCCAGATGAATAGTTCAGCAAATCAAAGGTTTGAACAGCGCAATAATGGCAGTAAGTAAACGAAAGCACATAAAAGAAATTGGAAATAAGAGGAATAGAGGCTTACCAGAACAAATGAAGCCGGAATGAAAGTCGCCGAGGTAAGGCAACAGTTGCAGACAAGACGGAACGACGAAAGCTTCGCTGGAATGGAAGAATGAAGACAGTTGCAGAGCTTGGAGCTAGAGTAATGGCGGGTTTGAGAAAATTTAGAGAGAGAGAGAGCTAGAAAATCGAATGCAAAAGTAAAAAAATGAAGATGGAGAGAAAAGTTTTATCAAAAACTTGAAACGGCGGCAAAAGCAGGGTATTTATTACGCCTGGAGCAACGCACACGTCAGACGGCGTAGATGGGTGAAATACAGCTTTCAGGCGCGTCACAGACACGGGCCAATGAGGATAGAACACGTAAGGGGAACGGTTGAGAAAAGGTGCATGACAGCTCATGCGCGTGGAGGAGTTCGTTTGAGTTCTTGTTCTTTGATAAAGGCATGTCGGCCTAAAATGAATGATCTCGGCCAAAAAAGTTCTCATGCCGAGGTACTGAAAGAAAATACAGATATAGGTTCCATCACCTCAAAATGCCGAGGTAATAGAACCTAGGGGGCAGTTGTGGGGATATATTTTCTGGGTGCCAACACGTGGCATGGTGATGCCGACGTGTCAGCCGAGGTGCCACGTGTCCTGGTAGTTATGCCGAGGTTACCTAGGTGAGGCCGAGGTGATCTCCGAAGATATCGGAATCCGAGATAAGCGGATAAGGGACAAGAGTCTTAGAATGAAGAGGGAACTCAACTTGGATATGGACAAGAGTCCTAGAGAAAAGAGA